GGAACTCCTGCTCTCTTGCCACAACGCTTTTGTCTCCTCGCTATCTGAATGGCACCCTCCTTCTCCCTCACTATCTCCATCCCATTCTCTGCATTCTCTTGGTTTTCTCTCCCTTTTGCTTTGTCGCTGACAGCCCTCCCCCCAATGCTGGCCCTGTTTCTCTCCTGCCCCTCCCTCCCCAGCTCTCCCTCCCTCACCTTCTGTGCTTCTGTCTCCATCCCTGGCTTTCCAGCGTCCCTCGACTTTTGGTCCCTGAGCTTTAATGCCTCTCCATGCCTTCTGTTCTTACTTGGACTGCAGTGGCTCTTTGCAGGAGCTCTGGAGGCCCATGGGCTGAGGAGGAGGGGAGGAGGGTTACCCCTGTACCCATCTGAAACCTAGGGTCTAGGGGGATCAAGGAAAAAAACCCTAAAGAAGGGGAGTTTTTGTTTGTTTTTGAGGGGAGATCCCAGAAATGTAGCTTGTTTCATATTTTAGGCTTATTTTTGTAAAATGTGTAGAATTTGCTGTTTTTCTTTTTCTTTTGACAACTCAGGAAGAAACTGACCTCAGAAAGAATGTTAGACTTTGGCTGCTCTCCTGTGTGCCCCTCACACCTGTTCTCCCCCACCCCAACCCTCCCACTCCATCCAGGGGAGCACATTCTCCCAGACACTCAAAAAATGAGACTTATGGGGAAGGGGAGAGGAAGACCCAGAGGCCTCAGTGAAACCCCAGCTAATCCTGGTCAGAAGCAGAATGTATTCCTAAGGGCTTCCTCCCCAGGGTCTGAGGCCTAGGCATGAATGTGGGGTTTGAGAGAGGGGAGGCTTTATTTCTCTCCTGCCGCTCCCTGCCCCCTGCCCCACCCAACCCCTCCGCTGAGTGATTTCTGTGAAGGGCTATCCAGAGTTAGGATGCCCTTGCCCAATTCCTTCCCGAGACCCAGAAAGTAGGCTGGGAGGGCCCAAATGGGAAGGTGACCTAAGCAGAAAGTCTCCAGAAAGGTCATGTCCCCTGGCCCCGCCTTGGCAGAAGTCCCCGATGACTGGGGAGGATTCCATCTGGGTAGACAGTCTGGCCGCAAAATCAGCTACTGGACCTCAGCCGCCTCTGCTGGAGGCTCTGAGAAGGAGTGAGCATCCCTTACTTGGGGGGCTCTGTGAGAAAATGTGTCTCCCCCATTCCCCCAGAGTCCTAGGTCTGGAGCTCCAGGGCTGGGAGAGGGTGAGGGAGATGGGCAGGGGTGTTTTCTCTGACCTTGGGGGCTTAGTCTCAGTCCTGCCCGAACTTTCCACTAGGTTTGGAACCCTACCGAGAACCATATTTCTCTCCTTCCCACCAATTTTACCTTGATGAGGCTTTAGCAGTTTGCTCCCACCACCCCCAGCCCATTTCATAACTCTGATCTTTGTCCAAAGCAGGGGGCACGTCCCGCCCCACCACTTTTTCTCTCTCCCACCTCAGCCTCCCTTCCAGTTCCCTGCCTGCCCGTGCATTTCCTAGAGTCTACTGCCTCCCCTCCTGGCTGGAAGGGTGTCTGTGGGGGACCTTTCAGGGGCCCTGGCACCCAGGGCCTGTGCTGGCCTAGGAGTGCTGACCGGAAGGCTGCTCTGCTTCCCCCCGACCCCCTGTCGCTTTCTGACCCCCTCTTTGGAGCCAGCCGCCCACAGGGCTTTGGTGCCTCAGAAGCAGTGGGCTGCAGGGTCACAGCTGCAGGCTGCAAAAGACCCTTGGAGGGAGCATGGAGTGAGGGGTTCTCTCTCAGGTGTGTATGTATAGGGGGGTGGGGGGGGATGGAGGGTGTCAGGGAAGTTGGGGTGGGATCCCAGCCTTCCCTTCAAGAGGCAGGGAGCTCTGAGAGGTGGAGTCCCCACTGCTTCCTCTACTAGGCTCCTGTTCCCCAGGCTTGGGGAGCTTTGCACAAGGAGACTGCCCCCAGCCTAGTGGCACCTACCTCATGGGCTCTGGGGTGGGTAGGGGAAGGGCCGGTCCAGCTCTGGTAATGTTGGGGGGAGGCATACCAAAGAATCCAGGGGCAGGGAGTGGGGAGGGTGACTTCCGAGCTGGCCTCTCCCCTTCCTCTACCCAGACTGGGGCTGGGATCCTCTCCTCCCACTGTAACCATTTCTACCTCATTTTGCTGCGTGTTGTACATGGACGTATTTAGCTCCTGTCTGACGATGCTCTGCAGTTGTGGTCTGTCTACCTCAGAAGAGACTGTATTTTAAAAGAAAGTATTACACAGTATTAAAGCGATGACATGTGGTTTGTAGAAGATTTCTTGGGAGCAGTGGGATGTGGGAGCCCTCTGGGAGATGTCTGGACACCCAGGTCTGCCGGTGCTCTGGGCGGGGTGTTCCTAGTCCCTTAGTAACAAGGAGCAAGGACTCCTGTGACTCACTGATACAGCGAGTACCTACGGGAATGGGCACTGAGGCTATGGGGGAGAAGCCATGGGTAAGGGGCCTTCCTGCCGTTCTGAGCTCTGACACACAACTCTGGGGCAGGCTCATCGTATCCCCAGAGCCACAAAATAGGGGGGCAAGGAAGGGCTCACATGTTTGTTGAATGAGTGAACGAATGAATGCATGGAGGAAGGGGGGTGCTGAAGAGAGGGAGGGGCCATCCAGAACCTGCAGCAGCCTTCATTGAATAGAGCTAGGGTTATACTTGTATTCCGTTCTCAGTGGAGATAAAGTGGGCAGAGGGCGGGGTGTGGAGATGGCCGAGTTCCAGTGTTTCAGGTCACGTGGTGTCCTTTGTTTACCATCCCCCCATCCATCAGTCCCCTAACTCTATCTGTGACAGCTCATCATAAACTGGGAGACTAAACAACCTAGGAAGAAACACTTGCTGAAAAAGCTCTGTAGAGATGCCCATGAGGGATTTGGACCCACAACTCCTAGGTCCTTGAATACTCTAGGCAAGACTGTTGAGCATGCGCAAGAGCACAGGGGAGTGGTGCACCCGGGCTCCCTGCTGTGGCTCACTGCACACATACAGGAGGCAGAGTGAGCACCAGGGAGACCCTGCAAAGCAAAGAGGACACGAATGTGAGTGTGCCTGGAGGTGGGGGCTCTAAGGCACTGCCCCAGAGTCCATTACCACAAGCCTCTCAGCCCTTGGAGGTCCAGACCCACCTGCCCCCACTCCTCTATTTTGCACCTTACTGTGTGCAACATTGGGCCTGGCACTGAGGATACAGAAGGGGTCAAGCACAGCTGCTATTCTTGGAGCCCATGTCTAGGTGGGAAAAGCTCAGAAATTGATCATTTAAAAATGCAACTGGATAAAGCTACTGGGAGTGGGGGGACTACATCAAATTAGCCTTTATATTCATACGCCTAGTGCAATTATCTGGTACACAGAAGACATTGAATAGATGTTTGTTGAATAAGTCCTCTAATTTCCAGATGAGTGCCCTGGTGGAGGATGCACAGGTCATCTTAAGAATGCCAAAAAATGGCTGGGGGCATGGTGGCTTATGTCTGTAATCCCAGTACTTTGGGAGGCCAGGGTGGATGGATCACTTGAGGTCAGGAGTTCGAGACCAGCCTGGCCAACATGGTGAAACCCAGTCTCTACTAAAAATACAAAAATTAGCTGGGCGTGGTGGTGTGTGCCTGTAGTCCAAGCTACTTGGGAGGTTGAGGCACAAGAATTACTTGAACCTGGGAGGCAGAGGTTGCAGTGCGCCAAGATCATGCTGCTGCACTCCAGCTTGGGTGACAGAGGGAGACTCTGATTCAAAACAAAAAACAAAACACAAACAAAAAGAATGTCCAGAAAAGATCCTGACTTGTGGTGGTCTTGGTGGGGTGTCAGGAAAACTTCCTACATGGGAGGGGAGGGGGATAGTTGGGCAAAGTATGGAGGCTGGAAACTGCATCTTATGTGTTGTGCCACGAGCCTTGATGTGTTGCAAGATAGTGAGGGCAGGAATCGGAGGAGTGAGGCTGGAGGAGTCAGCAGGGACCTCACCATGGAGGGCCTTCCATGCCCTGTTAGGAGCTGGGGCTCCATGATGAAGCCTTTGTGGGAGTTTAGGGGGCTGAGGACAGCACTGATTTGCAAGTTAAGAATTCACACAATGGCCCTGCATGGTGGCTTATGCCTGTAATCCTTGTACATTGGGAGGCTGAGGCAGGAGGATCCCTTGAGCCCAGGAGTTCGAGACCAGCCTAGGCAACAGAGGGAGACCCTGTCTCTTAAAAAAACAAAAAATACACACAATGACTCAACAAATCTTTACTGAACACTTTATTATGCTCTAGTTGCCATGGGGACAATGTATGGACCTTGCAGTCTAGTGGGGGAGACAGTACACAGGCCCAGCTGCAGTGGTGCTGTGGGGCAGACAGGAGGAGTCCCTAATAGGGACACCACTAAGGGGTGTGACTCAGAGTCAGGGAGGGCTTCCCAAAGGCGCTTGACAGCAGGAGGAGCAGGCCGCGATCAGGAGAGCCAGAGCCAAGCTTCCTTGGGGGAAATGGAATAAGTGCAGATAGGCAGGGCCCCAGTGTGTGAGGGCAGTGATGGGGGCTGGAGGACTAGCAAGAGAGGAGGAGGGTTTGGACTCGCACCGGAGTGGCGGAATGGGATGACGGATTCATTTAATAAATACTAAATGTTAGTATTTGGTAGACAAAAAGAGAATTTAGGAATTGAGGCCAGGCATGGTGGCTCATTCCTGTAATCCCAGCACTTTGGGAGGTGGTGGCAGAGGCCGAGGCTGGAGTTGGAGACCAGCCTGGGCAACACAGCAAGACCCCCATCTGCCCAAAAAGAAAAGAAAAAAAGAGAATGAGGCCGGGCGCGGTGGCTCAAGCCTGTAATCCCAGCACTTTGGGAGGCCGAGACGGGCGGATCGCGATCACGAGGTCAGGAGATCGAGACCATCCTGGCTAACCCGGTGAAACCCCGTCTCTACTAAAAAAATACAAAAAACTAGCCGGGCGAGGTGGCGGGCGCCTGTAGTCCCAGCTACTCGGGAGGCTGAGGCAGGAGAATGGCGTGAACCCGGGAGGCGGAGCTTGCAGTGAGCAGAGATCCGGCCACTGCACTCCAGCCTGGGCGACAGAGCGAGACTCCGTCTCAAAAAAAAAAAAAGAAAAAAAGAATGTAGGAACTGATTGAATATCGAGGTTAATGGAGAGCAAGGGGTCTAGGGATTCTGGTAAAGAGGGGAGGGGTTAGGGAGTACATGAATTAGAAGAGATGTTGGTAACTTGTTCAGTTTGAGGTATTAGTGGGTACTAGGAGGCCTAGGGCAGGAGCTACAATGTAAAGGCCCAGAATCCTAGCCTCCTGGGGGGCTGAGAACCCCCTTCCTGGGTTGCAAGCCCTCTTATCCCAGTTCGTGAGACCCTCCAACAAGTGCCATGTCTGAGTCCCTGTCTCTGTCGCTGGGTGTTGGCAGCCCCCTCGTCCCCAATGCCCTCCTCCACTTGGCTTCCCGGGTGTTCGGAGCCTCCTCCCTCCCACAATCCGCGGGCGTTCGGAACCCCTCCCCCACCGCTCACCGGGGGCGCTCGGAGCCCGTCCCCGCCCCTACAGTCCTCGGTCCCTAGTTCCCGCTAGGGATGGAGGCGCGGACTCTGGCGGGCGCCTTCGTCCTGGCGCTCTGGGTTTGGGCGCGGGCTCCGGCGGGGGCCGTGGACGCTATGGGCCCTCACGCGGCCGTCCGTCTGGCCGAGCTGCTGACCCCGGAGGAGTGCGGCCATTTCCGGTCGCTCCTGGAGGCGCCCGAGCCCGACGTGGAGGCCGAGTTGTCCCGGCTTTCTGAGGACCGGCTGGCGCGGCCCGAGCCGCTCAACACCACGTCGGGGTCTCCGAGCCCGCGGCGGCGGCGGCGTCGGCGGCGGCAGCGAGAGGCGGCCAAGGACCCGGCAGGCTGGGCAGCCGGGCCCGGAGAGGTGTCTGATGGCTGCCGGGAGGCGCTGGCGGCCTGGCTGGCCCCCCAGGCCGCGTCCCTGTCCTGGGACCGCCTGGCCCGGGCCCTGCGGCGCAGCGGCCGCCCCGACGTGGCCAGGGAGCTGGGCAAGAACCTCCACCAGCAGGCGACGCTGCAGCTGCGCAAGTTCGGGCAGCGCTTCCTGCAGCGGCCCAGCGGCGCCGCCCGCGCGCCCCTTGCCCCGGCCCCGCGCCCCCGGCGTGCCGCGGTTTCAGCGCGGGACTGGGACGCCCTGGAGCTGATTGTGGAGCGCCTGCCGCAGCCCCTGTATGAGCGGAGCCCCATGGGTTGGGCGGGGCCGCTGGCGCTCGGCCTCCTCACCGGTTTCGTGGGGGCGCTGGGCACTGGGGCGCTGCTCGTCCTGCTCACGCTGTGGATCACCGGCGGCGGCGGCGACGGCGACGAGGCGTGGCCCGGCAGCCCCAGCCCGCTCGTCACGGTGCAGGGCTGTTGGGAAACAAAGCCGCTCCTTCCTAAAGAGTGGCGCGCACCCCCGCGAGCCTGGGCTGCAAATGGGCCAGATTCTCCCTCACCTCACAGTGCCCCTGCCCTCAGCTGTAAAATGGGAGCCCAGTCTTGGGAGAGTGGTGCTTTGGACGGTTTATAAACGTTATGAAATACCGAAAGGGCAGAGTTTGTTAATTCGATGGAAAGGAGCAGCAAAACTCGTGGGACTGCCGGTGGAAGAGGGGCTCAGGTACCAGGCCCCAGGGTGGCAGGTGCACCAACCAATTCTTGTCAACTTAGTTTTTTTTTTTTTTTTTTAAGATGGAGCCTCGCTCTGTCGCCCAGGCTGGAGGGCAGTGGTGTGATCTCTGCTCACTGCAACCTCCGCCTCCCGGGTTCAAGGATTCAAGCGATTCTCCTGTCTCAGCCTCCTGAGTAGCTGGGAATACAGGCGTGCGCAACCACGCCCCACTAATTTTTGTGTTTTTAGTAGAGACGGTGTTTCGCCTTGTTGGCCAAGCTGGTCTCCAACTCTTGGGCTCAAGTGATCCACCCGCCTGGGCCTCCCAGAGTGCTGGGATTACAGGAGTGAGCTACAGCGCCAGGCAGATTCCTTCTTATCTTGCAATTATTCTTCCACGAAGAGTTACCACTTATTGAGCACTGTGTGCCAAGGCCTCATGCTAACCAGTTACATACATTATTTGATGTACTTTTCAAAACCCAAGGGAGAAGGTATTGTCTCCATCACACATGCGGAAACTCTGCCACAGCTAGTTCGTGGCATAGTCATGTTCTCGAACCTACGGCCCTCTGACCTGAAAGTTTGAGCTCCAGAATGAAAGGTGTGTGCACAATAAGGGGCTTGAAAAACATGATGGGGACCAGAACAAGATGGGCAGTTCCCCCTCGGGGCTGCTCTGGCGATCTGCTGGAGTATGCAGAGGCAGCACCACTACAGAGGGGTGTGCCCACGTGCAGGGCGCTGCCTCCAAAGTGCTGCCCACCTCAGGCAAGGCCTCCTGACACGCTGAGTGAAATCCCAAACCTTTCCCACACACCTGGGAGTGGCTTGGGCACTGCCTGCCCAGCCAAGGGGCTGAGCCAGGGTGAGCCCTCACGCAAACTCTGTCCCTGCCACAGGGATCCTGCCAGGTGGTGGCGCCTATCCACCTTGGGCTTCAGTGTGAGGGCAGTGACAGAATGACAGGCCAGTCCAAGAGGAGAGTTGAAAACAAGATTGACGTAACCCTTTATTGCAAATTCTAAAGTAAAAAGATGTACAGTACAAAGTAAAATTGAAATTTCATACTATAAACTTCCAATCCACTTACACATTCTCATTTCTCAAGCATTTCTGCCATTTCCGCATAAACAGAACAGGGAACAAGTCGAGGAGGTGAGGGAAGGAGATACAGCAAGGGGAAAAATTGTCTTGAATAATCACAAACCCCAGAAGCAAGTGAAAGGAAAGTCATTTTCTCGACCTGCTGTCCTGGTGATGAGAAGCGGGGGTGGTTGGAGCAGTGCAGTTTAAAATGGCTCTCAGAATAGCAGCATTTATGGTACCATTTCAGCTTCCTTAAGTCCAATAATACTTTGCCCTTCCCTAGCGCCTTTGCCTCTGTATCTCAAAACGCTTTACAAAACATTTAGTTAAAGCCTCACAACACCCCTGTGAGGTAGGTCAGTATTATTATCCCCATTTTACAGATGGGGAAACTGAGGCACAGAGAGGTTAAGTGACTTGCCCAAGGCCACACAGCGAGCCAGTGGTCAAGCTAGGGATAGAACACAGGAGTTCTGTCCCTTTTCTGGAACCACTGGACCACACTCCCCTTTACCTATATACATTCTTCACACACACACACACATGTGCACACCCACCCACCCCACCCCACTTAGCCTCTATGTACAGCAAACAGCAGTGGGGGGCAGGGGCAGGGGGTGCCTCAGGAGTTTTAATGGAGGAAATGGTAATCTTGGAAAGGGAATCCAAGAAAGCACAGAGCTGAACAATGGAAACTCTGTTGCAAAACTTGGGCCCCTCCCAACCCAGACTTCCTCTTGTCTCCTGATGTCCCCCCTGGCTGGCAAGTTGCAGCCAATTCTTTAGGGGGTGGGGGGTACCTGAAAATGAACAAAGCTTTTTGCTAAACTGTGGGCAACATCTGAGAAAAGAAAGAGGCATCATTACAGAAGATGCCCAGGTCTCAAGTCACAAAGTCATGACCCATGGCGGTCTCACCTCCACAGCAGGCCTGGAGGCTGGGGGCCGAGGGGAGGAAGATGGGGACTGACCTACCAGCCATCTCGCTCCAGAGTGCAGCTACTGGAGCGGACTAGAGTGGGCACTTCGAGATCCTCCTGAGAGAGTGTTCCTGAACCAGGAGACATGGCCTAGGCCTAGAGAGGGATGTCCCCAGAGGAGGACAGGGAGAGAAGGAAGGGGAAGGGTGCCCCCACCCCCACAGAAATGTGAAGGAGACCAGCCCTCGTCTGTGGGCCTGTCTGGGGTGATGGAGGGCAGGGCCCAGTATGAGCTTGCAGAGTGGAGGCTGTTGGGCATCGCGCATGCCCTAGCTTTGGGGCATGGGGGTGGGTTTTTTTTTTTTGTTTTTGTTTTTTTAAACATACAGGTGAAAAAGGCAGAAGTAAGGCCAGTCCAGCTGGGTTGGCTGACGTCATCTCTGAGGGCTCTGCCAGGTGGATTAGGTGAGGAGGGGTTTTATGGGCCTCTAAGCACCGGCCAGTAGTGGGGAATGCCACATGCAATGGGTGAGTGGGGATCTGGGGGGTCAGGACCTTGCTTTTCTTCCAATCTCTCCTTCTCAGCCAGAACTTTGCGAGAGCCCCTTTGATTTCTCTTCCTCCATGCCCCTCTTTTCCCCAAATGTGCTAAGGTCCCAATTCCCAGACCCCTCCCAGGACTCAAGAATTGGGATAGTCAAGCAACAAACACACCAAAGACAGGCTTCCCTTGTACAGTAAAAAGGGTCATTTTTATTTTGTTTCCTTTTGGCTTAGAGGAGTGATGGACTTTTTATCACGTCTCATTAGGGCAGCATTGGCCTCCATGCATTCACTAATACACTAATCTTCACTGTTGGTCTTTTACAGGTTTACGTTGGTTGCAGCAAAAATAAAAGAACTCTGGGCACTGTCGCTTTAGGAGCTTTGACTGGGAGTTTGTTTTTTTCTCTCTCTCCAGTCAACTTCTGACACCAAAAGTGGCTCATTTAGAAAGGAGTGAGAGTAGGCCATGTTAACATGGAAGTTTCTTCCTCCTCTCATCCTCTGCTTTAAATTATACAGTCTCCTCATCCTAAGCAACAAGGAGGTTAAGGAAAGAAGAGGGGAAAAATGTTTTTCACACACAAACCAGCAACCATGTCAGCTGCTGCTCAGTGGCTTTGGCTCTGCGTTTTAAATTAACAGCATCACACATCTTTTTGCTTTTTGTCCTTTTTTTAAAAGGTGGATTGTGGAGTATAAATACTGCACCAAGGACCTGGCTACAAAAAATAAATATTTATATTATATTTATATATATCTATATATATGTGCAGTGATACTGTGGCTGCTGCTGCTTTTTGATTGGCTTCGTTAATATTTGGCAAAGCGTTGCCACTTACCCACTCAGCGAAGATGCACACAGACGTCATCGCTGATTCTTTCAGTTCAATGCCTGTTAACTGCGGGTGTAAACTGCTGGTGATGGTGTCATTTACTACCAAAGAAGTGTGGAGCAGGATGGGTGAGAGAGTGAGTGAGCAGGTGGAAGGATAGTGGGTGAAGGATAAAAAGGTGGGAAAAGTTTTTTTTTTTTTTTTTTTTTTTTTTTAAGTGAAACTTCAAATACAGCGGAGGTGGCTTCTTTCCTATGAGGCTGGCTGATGGGTGCCAGATACCAAGGCCCATGTGTTACTGAGGAGACAGCCTATTGGGCTGGGGTCAGGAGCTAGCGGAGGGAAACGGTTACATCTCAGAAAAACTCATCACTATGCTCTAGTAGCTTAATGACATCACTAGCATGAGCACATGGTGTACTTAGCGGGATCTTACAGCTCTGTCGCCCATCTCAAGACCTAAGAACAATTATTAAGTTTAGCCAAATCTTGCATAGACGTGGTTAGAATTTATTGCACATTGGAACAAAAATATATATTTTTTGTTGTTTTGGAAAAGACCATTAGCAATAAAAAATTTTTTGTCTGTCTGTCTGGTTTGGGGATGTACATTGGCTGACAGCATCTAAGTTCTAAGAAGAAAGAAAAGTATAAAAAATAAAAATAAACATGACAATGGCATAAGCCAGAAGCCATTTCCTATTTAATAAGTTAATAATTTATATTTACAAAAAGGCATGCCAATAAAATAAAATTATATTACAGTATTTATAATTCTCTTAAAAAGAATAACCACACATGTCAGCTTCTGTTTTGTGCTGTTTACAATGTAGCCTGTACATGTTACTATACATTCATCCTAGCAGTTAGCAGGGTCACTGAAAGATATGCCTTCCCAGTCTGGTATTGGGTGTAGTACAAAAATTCTACGGGTGCTGCTGCAGAAGCACGCTTGAGAGAGCTGGACAGAGTTTCTAGTGGTCCAACAAGATAGAAAGCTCTGCTTACCGACTTACTGTGGTTTGTTCTATGCAAAACTAGTCAGGTGGACTGTGAAATTACCTTCAAAGTGCTTCTACTGCAAGGCAGATCGGTGTGTCTGATTATGGGTTGGTGGTTCTTCCCCCTCTAGTGTATGGTTCAGGAAGAAGTTATTTTGATTTGGTTCACATGCTAAAGTCTCTTTTCACTCTTTGTATAGACTTACTGACACATTCAACTGCAGCATCTTGGCCTTGAAATCCAGTCATTAGGTGAGAAACCCCTGGACTGAAAACTGTCTTTCCTAAAGCAGGAGATGGAATGGAAGAAATGATGCTCCCCCAGAAGCCACACTTCAATGACAATGGGCAGGTCGCTAAGCAGACTGCAAAACTGGCTGCAAGGGAATGCGCTGGGGGAAGCTGGAACATCCTAAAGAATTAATATTAAATTGCTTTCTCATGAAAACAAGTGCAGTAAAGAAACCAAGTGAGCTTGGTTCAGAGGCGGCTCCATCTCTACCTCAGGTCCCACCAGTGACTATTATTCTAATAATAAATGAAGGAAATCACAGCCGTAACCCCAGTGCTACTACCCTCACCCACCTCTGTGGGCAAGGGAAGCCCTGCTCAGTGGAGAAATGTGATGGAGGCAGGGGGAGCCATGCAGTGTGTGAGAATGCGACGACCCCTCTGCAGAAGAGAGAGGCCAGTTCAGAATATCTGAACCCCTCGCGGTATCGACCCATGCCTGGAGAAAGCCACAATGCAGAGGACGTGATACGAAATGAAATGAGCACCCCATAACTCCCAATGAAAGGTCGTTTTAAGTTCCCCAAATTACCCCTAGAGATAACTGGTGCTACTTTGAATAGCACTTTTATCTCTATCCCAAATAAGTGTCAATTCTCCAGTATGAAGGCTAAACGATCATCATAAATACTGCAAGATACAAATGAATTTTTTTTTTAGCCCTAGGATTTGGTTTTACAGTGACATAAATAGTACAAGCCATTTGGGATCAAAGTCTCCCCCAGGTACTGGACACAGAGCAGCATTAAATAGTTCATCTTGCAAAATGTGCAACAATGGCTGTATGTTAGAGATGTCTGTTAAACATATATACGCAACGGATCCATCTGCTTGTTGGATTGGGTTTGTTTTTTGTTGGTGGTGGTGTTAGTCAATTAGTTGGTTGTTTCCCTACCCAGAAGGTGTATGAAGGACTTTTAAGAACTCATAATAAAGAATTATAGCCGGTATGGAACTCTTACCATTTTCTCCAAATACAGTGAACGGTGCAGGGCTGGGTCCTGTCCAAAGGCTGACCCAATGCAAGGGACTAGATTAGTAGTGTCCTGTGGTGTATGGATCTCATGCATGACTTCTGATCACGGCATGCCATCATGCAAATCATTTCTACGCATTGAACGAGCACAATGTTTGGAATCGGCCTGAGCAAGTCCTCCTCAGCCTGAAGAAACCTGATTGTTTTCCCCCACCCATCTCCAAACCACGTGAAGCCCATGTGGAGAAGATGCGCTTTATGTCAAAGAAACTGACAATTAAATGACATGGGCTAAATGTGAGTGTGTGTGTGTGTTTTCTTTTTGCTGCTTAGCTTAACTAATGTAAGAATGCAAATATAGTTTGCATGAACAAACGAACTTTTAAAGTGATGCCTTCTGCTTCTGAGAATCAATAAAATGAAAAAATAAAATCCATTTGGCTGCAACGGAAATATGCTGGTCCCGGCAGCCTCTCTTCTGTTTCTGTATCTGGTTAGTTTTGTCCTAAGTTGCATTGACTGATGTGGAACATGCAGTAACCACCTGCCCAAGCATTAGAAAATCTGTGAGTCTAGGGAGCGGGGTCCGTTGCCCTTGGCAGGTCACTGCTCAAGATGCAGCTGTGTTACGTGGTAAGCGGACGACGTTTGGTATAGATCTTCAGGTTAGAGTCTCCACAGCTGTTCTGCATTGATAATATTCAGGAAGTTTGTAAACAATCTTTCACTTGCGAGTTTTAGATCTGTATAATACTGAATTTTTGTTCTCCTCTAACACTTGGATTCTCTGACCTCTTTTTGTCTTTTGGTTCTTTCCCTTCTTCCTTCCTCTGCCCGCTGCTGTTTCTCCTTTTCAGGTTTAGTTACACTGTCATAGGACGGGAGGGAGGCTGTAGATGGGGTGCTCTCTTTTTTCTCCCGGTGTGTGCCTCCATTCTCCAGCTTATTAGAAGTTGTCTTTTTGCAGATGAAGCCCCGCCTTGCCAAATGTCCCCGGTAGGCACGCTGCAGGACCACCGCAGATACCTCCTCCTGCTTGCGGCGCAGCGTGGTTGTGATTGGCTCGTAAGACACTTTGGAAGGATTGGATGCCACGAACCGCTCTTCCATCTGCTGCCGCAGGATGTCCAACTCCCCGCTATCTCCCAGGACCCGCTTGGTGAAGGCAAAAAGGATGTCCAAGCAGTGGATGCGATCCCCGCTCACCATTGGCAGATCCATAGCGATGAGCTCAATGGTATTGGGCTTGGGCACTCGGAGAGGATGCTCCAAGGCATCTGCAAAGTCTGCCAGCTTACAGTACTCAATGAACTGGGTAGCATCAGGGTCGAATTTCTCCCAGATCTCATAGAAGGTCTCAAAGTCATCCTCACTCAGAGGGTCTGCACTTTCCTCTGTGGCTACACTGAAGTTCTCCAGGATGATGGCAATGTACATGTTCACGACAATTAGGAAGGAGATGATGATGTAGCTTACAAAGAAGAAGATGCCCACTGAGGGGTTCCCACAATCTCCCTTAAAGCCACTCCCTGGGTGTTCCTTATCTAGGCTGCAGTCAGGGGGGCGGTTTAGGATGGGCAGCAGCAGGCCATCCCAACCAGCTGAGGTTGTGATTTGAAACAGGCAGATCATGCTGTTGCCAAATGTCTCAAAGTTGAACATGTCATCAATACCAGCCTCGTGCTTCACATATGCAAAATTGGACATCCCAAAAATGGAGAAGATGAACATCACCAGGAAGAGCAGAAGGCCGATGTTGAACAGGGCAGGCAAGGACATCATTAAGGCAAAGAGCAGGGTACGAATCCCTTTGGCACCTTTGATCAGACGCAAGATGCGCCCAATACGGGCCAATCGGATGACTCGGAATAGGGTTGGGGAAACAAAGTATTTCTCAATTATATCTGCCAGGAACATTCCTAAGAAGAGGAATAGAAGACGTTATGTTATTGAGATTGGAGACACCCTTTCTCTTTACTTTTTTTACCTGGCACTGTGGAACCCTTAGGTTCAAAGGGCTTTGCAGAATAAGTGCCTTACTATTCAGTCTGAACTCTCAAAAAGTGACATTTTGGCTGGGCATGGTGGCTCACGCCTGTAATCCCAGCACTTTGGGAGGCCAAGGCAGGTGGATTACTTGAGGCCAGGAGCTGGAGACCAGCCTGGCCAACATGGTGAAACCCTGTTTCTACTGAAAATAAAAAATTAGCTGGGCATGGTGGTGCACATCTGTAATTCCAGCTACTTGGGAGGCAGAGGCACAAGGATCACTTGAACCTGGTAGGTGGAGGTTGCAGTAAGCCAAGATCACGCCACTGCACTCCAGCCTTGGTGACAAAACAAGACTCCTGTCTCCAAAAAAAAAAAAAAAAAAAAAAAAAGTGACGTTTTAAACATACAGAAAAGTAGACAATAAAATAGACACCTATGTGCCAAACACTGTATAACTAACACACAAATTTGTTTTTTGATGCTGTTTTTTTGTTTTGAGATGGGGTCTTGCTATGTTGCCCAGGCTGGTCTCAAACTTCTTGGCTCAAGTGATCCTCCTACCTCAGACCTCCCGAGTAACTGGGATGGAGCAAAGATTTAATACAGGCTAGCATTTTGCCAATTTTTCTTCCTCTTTCATCATTCCCAGATGAAGCATCCACAATCCTGAAGATGGTATGTATCATTCTAGTGTGTGTGTTTATAGATTTACTATGTAAGAATCCTATATATATATAATTTCCTACTATGGTTAGGAAATTATACTATATCTGCCTTATTTATTTAAACATTTTGTAGAGATGGGGGTCTTGCTATGTTGCCCAGGCTGTTCTTGAATGCCTGGGTTCAAGCAGTCCGATCCTCCCTCCTCAACCTCCCAAAGTGCTGGGATTACAGGTGTGAAATGCCACATCCAGGCTGTATCTGTCTTCTGAGGTCCATCTATTTAGGTCTCTATCTTGTTTTTGGGATTTAACATTACAATTGTGAGACTGATCCCTCATGTTGAAATAATTTTCGATTATTCATTCTAACAATTGAGTGGTATTCCCTTTTATGAATAGGTCCTCATTTACTTGTTTTTCTACTCAAGAATGATTAGGTTTTTTTTTTCCAGATTTGTGCACATATGATTTTCTAAGAGGTTACTAATATTATCCACAATGGAATCAAATTTCCATATCCACAAACAGTAAATGAGAGGTCCTGGCTCCACCTTATGACCTCATTATCCTTTAACTTTAATGTCTTAGTTATTCTGCTAGTGCTAGCAATTTTCAAAGTATCTTCTTTGCTCTGAAAGAACATCTTTGGTTTCGCACAGCCCTACCTCCCTAGTCTACCAAACTAGCCTAGAAAACTAAAGGGACTCTCAGGAGTGACTTTCAACTCTGAGCTGATAGATTTTGTGCTGCAAGTCATGAATCAGAAACCAGTATCAGGCTGGGTGCAGTGGCTGATGCCTGTAATCCAGCACTTCGGGAAACTGAGGTGGGCAGATCACTTGAGGCTAGGAGTTCAAGACCAGCCTGACCAACATGGCAAAACCCAGTCTCTACTAAAGATTAAAAAAAATTAGCCAAGTGTGGTGGCACATGCCTGTAATTCCAGCTATTTGGCAGGCTGAGGCACAAGAATCGCTTGAACCCGGGAGGCAGAGGTTGCAGTAAGCCGAGATCACACCACTGCACTCCGGCCTGGGCAACAGAGTGAGACTCTGTCTCAAAAAGAAAAAAGGTTCAAAAGTTAGCTGGGTGCGGTGGCACATGCCTGTAACCCCAGCTACTCAGGAGGCTGAGGCAGGAGAATTGCGTGAGCCTGGGAGGCAGAGGTTGCAGTGAGCCGAGATCACACTCCAGCCGGGGCGACAGGCAGAGACTCTGTCTTAAAAAAAAAAATTAAAAAATAAAAAAATAAAAAGGAGAAAAAGAAAAGAAACCAGTATCAGCAGGTAAAGATGCCAAGGCATTAGGATATAAAGGCAAAAGGTGAAAGTATACAAATCAGAGAGCCTTTTTCTAGTTATATTCATCCTGGGATTCGCCTCAACCAGGCCACTTGTTCTTTAAAGCTACAGAGCAATGAGGGAACCCAAATGAGGGGCCACAGAAGGAAGGAAGAGGAGTCGAAAAGTCTGGGAAATGACAACCGAAGGGAAGGCACTGACATGTTCTCTTTGTTCAGTACCTTCTCTTGCTGTCCAGGCACTAACAAGACAATGGGAGCTTCAGCTGACATGAGGGATTTAATTTAAGGAAACATTTCTCAATCATAAGAATGCATAAATACTGGGGCAGTTAACTGCACAAGGCTATAGAATCCCCTTTGAAGAATCTTAGCTTTTCAGGAAAAGACAAGATGCAGTAAGTTCAGAGCGTGGGTCAGGTAACCTCTTGGAGCCTCTTCAGGAGCTAGAATTCCATGGGGTATTTGAGCTTTCAAGAAAATCTCTACCTTAGCCAGGACCCACCCATGATGATTTCTCAGCTCTCTCAATTAAATCATAACCTGACCAAATAAGTCAGGTTATGTAACATATATTCAAGTATATGTGATACTTGCAGCCCATATATGGTGGGCAAGTAGGGCTTCAGAGAGAAGATGATGCCTGAGGTAGGTTTTGAAAGATGAATGTGTGTTTGTCCCCATAGAAAAAGGGAGAGAAATGGGGCAGACAGTAATGTAGGCAGTAGAAACACTATTTAAGGGGTACTGCAGGTGGTTTCAGAGCTAGTTTTACCCCAATTCCTTGTGATAGTTAATACTGTCAACCTGATTGGAATGAAGGATGCAAAGTATTGTTTCTGGGTGTTGCCAGAGGAGATTAACATTTGAGTCAGCGGACTGGCAGAGGAAGACCCACCCTCAGTGTGGCTGGGCACCATCTAATTGGCTGCCAGCTCGGCTAGAAAAAAGCAAGCAGAAGAAGGTGGAAGCAGCTGACTTGCTGAGTCTTCTAGCCTTCATCTCCTCCTGTGCTGGATGCTTCCTGCCCTCAAACATCAGACTCCAAGTTCTTTGGCTTTTGGACCTTGGACTTACACCAGTGGTTTTACAGGGGCTCTCGGGCCTTTGGCCACAGACCAAAGGCTGCACTGTCAGCTTCCCTACTTTTGAGGATTTGGGACTCGGACTGAGCCACTACTGGTTTCCTTGCTCCTCAGCTTGCAGATGGCCTATTGTGGAACTTCACCTTGTGATCATGTGAGACCACATCTATCCTATTAGTTCTGTCCCTCTAGAAAACCCTGACAGATTTTGTTACCAGGAGTGGTTCTAGAGGAACAGAATTTTAAGGATAGATTTCTTTAGTTGCTTTTGGGGTTTCTGGAGTTGGCTGCTTAATCTGATTAGACCCCAAAATGCGAAGGATTCTACTTCTGATAGCATGGAGAACACTAATAGTCGCTGGTGTGAACTGTTTAGGGAGTTTTGCAAAATAGATGGTATTTGATATTCATGATTCATTGCTCTTGAAAGGCAAAGAGTTTAGTGACTATGTGGAGAACCAAGGACTATAATGAAGTTGGTTGGTTGCTCCTAAGTTTGCTGGAGAAAGTGATGAAAGAAAAGGATGAGCTCAGGGATGCTAACTCCCAGCTCCAGAAGCACATACTGAGCCTCAAGTCTTCTAAGATTGCCCTGAGTCTTATCTCCTATAGACAAAGGGCTGAAATGGCAGAAAATCAGACACAAGCTCTTATCATGCAAGTGGCTGGCCTGCAAGGAAAGGGGCATGCACAGCCTCACTAGGTATCTATTTTTTTTTTTTTCTTTTTTTGAGATAGAGTCTCACTCTGTCACGCAGGCTGGACTGCAGTGGCATGATCTTGGCTCACTGCAAGCTCCGCCTCCCGGGTTCATGCCATTCACCTGCCTCAGCCTCCCAAGTAGCTGGGACTACGGGCACCCACCACCAGGCCTGGCTAATTTTTTTTTATTTTTTAGTGGAGATGGGTTTTCACCGTGTTAGCCAGGATGGTCTCGATCTCCTGACCTCGTGATCTGCCCGCCTTGGCCTCCCAAAGTGCTGGGATTACAGGCGTACACCACCACCCCCTACTGGTATCTATTGTTAAAGTGAGGGCATTGATTGGAAAAGAAAGGACTCTGCAACTTGGAATAGGGATGTGTGGGAAGACCCTGATGAAGCTGCGGACACTGAGCTTGTAAACTCTGACAGCCTTTTTTGCCAGAGGAAACAGCCTCCCCATCCCCAGTGGTGGCAATATCCCTTCCCTCACCCAGGCTGCCACCAGCCTTTCCACATTTGTCTGAGATTAACCCTGCAATGCTTGAGGCAACAGTGGTCTCCTTGGAGGCAGTTGCCAGGCAAGACAATGCTGATTCTCCTCTGAACCCACCCCCAACACCCCTGTTTGTTTCTAGACCTATAACTAGACTCAAGTCATGGCAGGTCCCTAGAGGTGAGGTTCAGAGTGTGACCCACAAGATGAGCTACACTCCAAAAGAACTGCTTGATTTTTTTCTTCTTTCTCTTTTTTTTTTGATGGAGTCTTGCTCTGTCGCCCAGGCTGGAGTGCAGTGATGCAATCTCCACTCACTGCAACCTCCACCTCCCGGGTTCAAGTGATTCTCGTGCCTCAGCCTCCCGAGTAGCTGGGATTACAGGTGCATGCCACCTGCCCGGCTAATTTTTGTATTTTCAGTAGAGACGGGGTTTCACCATATTGGCCAGGCTGGTCTTAAACTCCTGACCTCAAGTGATCCGCCCTCTCAGCCTCCCAAAATGCTCGGATTACAAGCATGAGCCACGGTGCCTGGCCTGCTGGAGTTTTCTAATTTGTATAAGCAGAAATCTGGAGAACAGGGATGGGAATGGATATTAAGGTTGTAGGACAATGGTGGAAGGAACATAAAGTTGGATCAGGTTGAATTTATTGATATGGGCCCACTAAGCAGGGAT